CTCCCCCTCTCCCCCTCTCCTCCTCTCACCCTCCCCCCCCCCCCCTTTTTTTCAATCTCTCCATTCTGTGTTCATGATTACAATGTGAAATCTGAAAATGAAATTGATAATTAATTTATGCGCTTGTACATTTGATTTCTTTGAGTTTTTCTTTTCCCTTTCTTTTTTTTTTTATTCGATGGTCTTTTTTTCTTCTTCTTTTGTCTTTGGCGTTAAATTGGTGTATCTGATCTCTTCTCCGTCTTTATTTCAGGCTTATTATAATTAATACTGATAAAACATTAAATTGTCTTTGGTGCAAGGTCAAGACCAGAGTGTGTGACTTGATTTATTCCTAAGTCTAAGACTCGTTCGGTTTAACGCGTTCCTCTTTTTGTTTGTCTTCTTTTTGTTTTGTGTTTTAATGGAGGGCTGTTTTCCACCCCCATCGCTACAATTTAGATTACATTAGTTAGAAATAAGAGGCAGGCTTCGGCCCTGCCGACCCACGCTGAGAAGGATACAATGTCCTAGCAGAAAGATGGGGATACATGTACTATGTACTCGATGAAAGAAAAAATACCCCCCCCCCCTTTGCAGGAATGGACGTCATGTCTTCTGCATGCGACGATTAAGCGCCTGTTTGTTTTTTTTGGGGGGGGGGGATATGTTATTTTTTTGTTTGTTTGTTCGTTTCTTTGTTTATATCTAATGTACTGTAAAATGTTGGGGTGGGGGTGGGAGGGGTTCATATCGGGAAAGTGAGTACGTCGAGTGAGCTTTCACGCTGCATAACATAAAGTCGTTATATGAAATTTGGTAAAAGTAAATGTTGACGTCATAGCTAACCACATGAAGACTGAATGTGCGTACAAAGCAAGGGGGTCCTTCGTGGTACCTTTACTTTAAGTAAGCTATGAATGGAGAGTTACGGTTATTTCATCACATTGACTTTTACTTATAATATACTATTGATAACTAATATAAATTGTGAATTTAAATGTAAATGGCTGTCTGACGGGTGCTCTGGTGTGATTTGCTCTTTCTTTCCTATAGAAAAAATGTATCGTCTTTATCTCCCCTCCTTCTTTTTTGTGTTTGTGCGGCACTTACATGATCTTTTTGTGTTGCCAGTGACGCGTAAAACTCTTACTAAAACGTTTTTAAAATGTACATAGGGCATAATATATGCACGCGTGCTCTAAGAGCTTTACAACTACATAAAATACAATTCATGTACCATTACCCCAGCAGACCCTACAGAAAACTCAGAATCATTCTTGGTTTCCCGGGAAGCATACACTGCAAGCAGCTGTATCAACCAAGCCGTTACAATTCGTTGACACTTGCGACTTACTAAAGATAACAAACTGAACAGAACAGCAAAACTCGGGAGAGACTTCCATCCACCCGAAAAGGTGTGTGTTTCTTGGCCATCTTTGGATGCATGATATAAATACATGTACATCTAATGTATAGCGATAGGTAGCATTTGTATAGCTGTCCCCGTGGTTTTATGTACCCCTCACAATTTAGCAAAATTTGATCATTTTTTGCATAATTTCTTATTATTTTTCTTCATCATTTGTTAAAATTAGCAGAAATCGCATAATTTCACATTTTTGGGCTCAGTTTGCATAATTTCATAATTTCTGAATTTTTCTTGCATAAAACGACGGGGACAGGTATAGAGGTAAAATTCCCGATCAACAGCAAGCTCTACGCTTTACAATCTATTGAATACTATTGCCCCAGCAGACCTGACACTGTCCCCCTACCACAGCAGTGCTACTGACTGGAGTTGTGTTTAGGCTATTCCCAAAGGGCAGGGGAGATATTAACTTGTTCTTATAAACGCATAGTAGAATTGTAAATAGGCTGATTTATCAATGGCATGCTCATGCTGTGCCGGAACAACATAGGGGGAACTGCTGCTTTTTCTTTTCTCATCCTTCCTTGCCTACCGTTATTTTTCCTCTACTTGTTTTTATGTTTGTCACACTCTTGTGGCCCACTATTTCCGGGGTGCCTTGATAGTCGAAGCAGACTTTGGGCTGTTGAGGCTAGAGAGGTGAGCAGAGCAGAGTAAGCCTGATTCCGCGTTCGGACTTCTCTGTTGACATCCACCCCTAGGCGCTCATATGACCTTATGCAATAAGTGAGCGCTGTAAAACCTCTACTAAAACTAAAACTAAAGGTCTGACACTGGGGTTTGAATCTGGGTAGCGACCGAAACATTTTCTTCTCTAAAAGTGTCTCCTTTCACCTCCTTTCCCGCTCTCTAGCAATGTTATGTCGTCTACTTTCGAATCCACTTTCTGTCCCCACCCCCTCCCCTCCTTTGCCCCTGGGCTCCTGACTCTTTCTGCAGCCTTTCTACTGCTACTCCTCGGCTCCTTACTGCTGTCTTTCAGCCACACCCCTGATCTTCTAGTAGGAAAGCTCTACATAGCCTTCTCGGACAAGGGCGACAAATCTCGGAGATCCCATGTGCAAGTTGCGCACGTTAAAGATCTCTTGGTTGTCTAAAATCGATATATATGAGTTTAAAAAATTCAAAATTTCCTGCCAACTGGAAATGATTTATGTGTCCCTCGCGCTCTTATGACCTTATGCAATTGCGAGGGCCGTAAAACACTGACAAAAATAAACAAACAAAAACAGATCTGACACTCGTGGTAGCGTTCCGAAACAATCTCAGCTTCATGGGAAGCATAGTGCAAGCTGACAATTGTTCTGGTCGAGGACCGAACCCGCAGCCTCACGAATACGAGTCTGCCAGCCTAACCACTTGATTAACTTCCGACACATCCTATTATTAGTATTAATCTGTCCAAGTCGTTTTAGGCAAGAAAAGTTTTGAAATTATGCAAACTGAGCCCCAAAATGTGAAATTTTGCGATTCTGTTCATTTTAACAAAGAATGATACAGGAAAATAATCAGAAATTATGCAAAAAATGATCAAATTTTGCTAAATTATGCAGGCTGCCTAAAACCATGGGGACAGAATGATTAGTATACGCTCGATTATAGTGACTGGCGTCTAAGGGGTCGCGGCTTGGCGCATCGCTTTCACATTTCACTTGCAGGAGACCCTATAGTTCGATTCCCGAACGGGGAGAATTTTCATCGAGTGCAATAATAAACGATACATTTTTTAAAAAGCAAGAACAGACAGATATAGAAATTCATTCGTACCAACTGCAGTGAGGTTACTGAACACACAGTGCTACAAATGAAACACACACACACACACACACACACACACACACACACACACACACACACACACACACACACACACACACACACAGAGAGAGAGAGAGAGAGAGAGAGAGAGAGAGAGAGAGAGAGAGGGAGAGGGAGAGGGGGGGGGGGAGAGCGTGTGTGTGTGTGTGTTTTTTTTACGGAGCGGGTTGTCTCAGCATGTGAGATATGTATTTACTAGGCCTAATATACCGTCTAGTTGTGCGTTTGCGTGAGTGCACCTTTAGGTCTAACTTTTGTAACGTCTACTGCCATTGTTAACGACCAAGACCAATATTTCTCCCTGCGAGATGAATAAAGATTGTCATTGTCATTGTCATAATATGGTAGGCCTACACTTTATATTTCGGTCATTTTCTTGGGATGTTGTATTCCTCTCAACCCATGTTAGCCCTGGCAGGCAGTGGAAAGTGGAAGGTTGGAGTTCGCTTCCTATTCCTCATTAACGACCTTTGTGTTTTGGCGTGTCTCAAACAAGGTTCTCTTGGAGACAATTAGCAGGAAGACCCTGGGGTGGACGCTGGAAAGGAGGGATGAGCAGCTATGGACATGTGCCGCCTGCTATGATTCTAGCTATGGATCCAAGTAATTCCAAGTAAGTACATGTATATTTTTTAAAAATCTCTGGTGTGAAGGCTGCTGAGCATGTTCGCCACAGTCTCCCGGCCTCTCATAGATACACGGAGTTCCCTGCATAGGGTTTACAACCGCTAATGTTACATTGTGTATTGGTGATATACACAAGAACTTTCTTACTACTCTTTCCTGCACGTATGCATCATGCACACACCAGCGCACGTACGCAAGCATACACACACACGGGCGCGTGACGTGTACACACACACACACACACACACACACACACACACACACACACACACACACACACACACACACACACACACACACACATACCCACACACATACATATATATATATATATATATATATATATATATATATATATATATATATATATATATACGTACACACATACACTCGCGCTCGCAACATAATACACACACATATAGATACATGCACAACACACCTACACACCCTACCACTCACCCCCCCCCCTTACCCTACCCGTTCCCCAAACGCAGGATGCGCTTTTACTCATAGACCTGCCCCATCTAAGGACCTTACAACATATCCCCCTAAAGCTAATAGTAATTGGCTCCATCTTAACTCAGTTCTCGGGTCTGGCAGTGGTTCGCCTGTAACATAGCAGCTTGCACATGCTTTCTAAGAAGTTGAGATTGTTTCAGAGCTATCAGGTCTGCTGAGGGTAGCCTAATGTATACGTGATCATATATTTATAGATTGTAAAGTCATAATAAAGCTTGTTGTTCAGCTGCGATTTGCTTTGCCTACGAAAAAATTTGTTCTTTTTCATACAGGCTACATTCAAACACCGGTTTCCAGCAACTGATAGAACTAAAAAAAAAATAATTTATTGAATAGATAAATAGATAGATAGTACTTAATTAATTCATTAAGATTGTAGTAGATCTATAATAATAAGCGTAGACGAGATTTCTTTTAAATTCCTTTTTCATAGCCTAGTTTAGTTATTTTCAGCAGCCTCTTGGATTATTGAACTTCAAAAGTTTAATTTCCCAGGACAACATTAAAATACTCTCTGAAGGACCTGTAACATCCTTTCACTACTTTCAGAAGAGGGACCGCGTTGTCGTTGACTCATTGAACGCCAATGTGGCAAACACCTGGCCAATCCGGAAGTGCTACCTGCGGAGGACGAACCGAAAGTGAAACACTAAACACAACACAAACACTCGCTCGCAGGAGCCAATGTTGATGAGCAGGCTATTCCTGATCGAGAGTGATTATCGAATGCAGTGCTCCGCCTCCGTACTGTTTTCATAAACACCAGTCTTAACTCAGTAACTGTAACTGTGTAGATCTAGTGTAGTGTAGACGACTAAATCTAGATTAGATCTAGACTCTAGATCTAGATTTATTAGAATCTAGATTTAACTGTGTAAACAGTAAGTTGTAAATGTAAAGTTACTTACAACTTCTGTACTGTAGAAGAGAGGCTGTACTGTAGATCTCTAGGCCTCCTACATATAGCGTGCAGGATTTTGCCGACGAAGGAAGATGGTTGTCTGTCGCTATTTCCTGGAAAACAAGTGTCGATTTGGAGAGAACTGTAGAAACGAACACCCAAGAGGTAACTTGTCATAGTGCCATAGCCATTTAGAATCTAGACCTAGTCCTAGTGCTCTTCCTTCTCATTCTCTGTCTTTCAGTCTTGCTTCCACCACACTGATATCCTCCTCTAGATCTAGATCTAGATCTAGATCTAGATCTAGACTAGACTAGATCTAGATCTCCACGATGCATCACACTTTGTCTTTTCTTGTCTCTTTCTAAGGAATACCTTGATAGCCTACTTGTTTTTCAATAGGGAGTGAATAGTAGACATGCGATTAAAAGTAGAAATGATGCAAACTATTTTTAGGTAAGGCGCCCATCTTATTTGACGTCAGACCAGGATACCCCTCCGATCACGTGACTACATCTAAGTATAGACAACCGCATGGCACCAAACCAAAGATGGAAGTGTCTATGTATATTATGCTTAATCTACACCATTTTCTCGGAAGTTCTGATAGCTGATTTGATAGCGCGTCTGCGTTTGATGTCGAGCAATGACTTTTGGAGCGGTTCGATTCCGGTCCCGGACAGTTTTTTTTTTCTCTTTTCCTCCTCCCGACTGACCAACAGTTCCATAAATTATAGGCCTAATTTGTAGAGTTGCTTTGAAGTTGTTGTTTATTTTTAAAAATGTATTAGTGATTAAAAATGCAGGAGGGGGAGGGGGGGTTGGTAGATCTAAATTTAGATATCTAGATCTAGATATTATCTAGTCCTCCTGCGTCTTTACGGCAATTTTCGTGCGGTCTTCCATCATGTCCAGGTAGGCCTAATAGATCTAGAAAATCCGAAATGTTACCGAAAACACGTCGTTCCATGTGGGTTTCCCAGGAAGTGATGACATCACATTGCTAAAATTAGCAGCCATTCAGAAAGATGCGTCATTTCTAAGTTTAACGCCATGTGTATAGTAGTATAGTGTATACAGACGCGGTAACCGGGAACAAAGTCACAAAGTATACAGACCCGGTAGGGGAACTCTTTTGTGATTTCGGAAAGTTTCAGCGCCCTCTTGGCTCAGGGTAGACCTAGGTTCTTCTGGTAGATCTATGGCCTAGGCAAGGTCTAGATCTAGACAGACAGACATAAATCCTTGGTCTAGTTTCGAGGCTAGCCTAGATCTAGATCTAGATCTAGATCTAAATGAAGATTGCGGATGTCTTTTCGATGAACGATCGTTTTTCCTCCATTTTGGAGTTGGAGGAATTACAATTTGAAGAAAAGAACAATGTCATAATTTCTCTCGAGCAGTCATCCTCTCTATTTCTCTCTCGCTCTGTTGCTCGCATTCTCTTTTTCTTTGTTTGTCTCTGTCTTTCTTTCTCCCCACCTATTTCCCACTAGACGTCTATATATATATATCTCTCTCGTTCCCTCCTGCCAACTGGGGCATGTCATACATTTTGCTAGCACTTCCCCCTGCTCTCTCTCTCTCTCTCTCTCTCTCTCTCTCTCTCTCTCTCTCTCTCTCTCTCTCTCTCTCTGTCTCTCTCTCTCTCTCTCACACACACACACACACACACACGCACACACACTACCGGGTCTGGGCGCTGAAACTTTCCGAAATCACAAAAGAGTTCCCTTACCGGGTCTGTATACTTCGTGACTTTGTTCCCGGTTACCGGGTCTGTATACACTTCGTTTTCAATATTCAGCTTTCACTCTTCTTTTGTCTCTCATCAAAGGACACACTTGTAGGTTTAAAAAAAAAATAATTTCTGCACAGGACACACTTTTAGGTTAAAAAAAAAAAAAATTTCTGCACAGGACACACTTGTAGGTTTAAAAAAAAAAAAATTTCTGCACACCAATATTGTCCATTAATAAATGGGAGAGGCTAGCCGTACTTAATGTGGCTAGACTGCTAGGCTACCCGTACTTTTAAGTAGGCTAGACTGGTTGGCTAGCCGACAGCTGGGCCAGTCGTTCTTATTTTTAATATATGATGAGATAATGACGGCTAGACTGGTTGGCTAGCCGACAGCTGGGCCAGTCGTTCTTATTTTTGATATGATGAGATAATGACGGCTAGACTGGTTGGCTAGCCGACAGCTGGGCCAGTCGTTCTTATTTTTAAATATGATGAGATAATGACGGCTAGACTGGTTGGCTAGCCGACAGCTGGGCCAGTCGTTCTTATTTTTAAATATGATGAGATAATGACGGCTAGACTGGTTGGCTAGCCGACAGCTGGGCCAGTCGTTCTTATTTTTAAATATGATGAGATAATGACGGCTAGACTGGTTGGCTAGCCGACAGCTGGGCCAGTCGTTCTTATTTTTAAATATGATGAGATAATGACGGCTAGACTGGTTGGCTAGCCGACAGCTGGGCCAGTCGTTCTTATTTTTAATATATGATGAGACAATGACGGCTAGACTGACCAAAAAAAAGGCCTACTGAATTGAAAATAAATTTTTAGTTTGCAGAACCGAAAGTATTTTTGTATTTCTGAGACGAAACCAGGTGCCTTAGTGTCAGTGTATGTATTTAATACCTGAATATAATTACTAATGAGACCTGTTTTGTAATGCTAATAGAGGCCTAAGATAAGTACGGCTAGCTGTACTTGCTAGACGGCTAGGCTAGCCGTACTTAAGGACGGCTAGACAATCAGGCTAGCGGTACTTATTATTGATGGCTGAATTGTAAATGAAATTTTTGGTTTGCAATGCCTAAAGTATTTGTATTTCAGACAAAACCAAAAGGTGCCTTACTGACTTGCATGTATTTTAAACCTGAATAATCCCTATCTCGATCTAATGAGACCTGTGTACTCAACAGGTTTGAGAACAGTTGATAGGGCCAAACCTAGATCTAAGTACGGCTAGCCTCTTTGTTCATAAATAATCCCAAGTCGACCAATGATGGAGAGGAGGGGGGAAAAGGGAAGGGGGGGGGGGGGTAGAGGGGGGAGTTGAAGAGAAATTACTTTCTTTTAATAGAATGGGTTTCTCAAAAGTAATTCTTTTTCTTTCAGGTGATGTGCAAAGAAGTCTGTTTGGACTTAACAACGATGCTTGGGGAAAGTCAAGAGTCACCTTTGGAAACAACGACAGCCAGGATTCATCCAGGGATAGGTTTAAATGGGTTGCAAACTCAAATCAGCAATCACAAAATACTCTAAACCAAAACCAACCAGTGGATCCTGTGTAAGTCGAGTTATCATTTAGTGTGTGCAAGTATTTTTTACAGATCCTGGACATGTTTGTTGAAAAGTTTCATTTTAAAAAATTGTTTCAAATTTGTTTTCCACTTGGCTTGATTCAACATAGGGTCAGCCACGTCACTCCCTGTGGATCTTTGTTGATTATATGCATGAATATTTGTTCTGTTTCTCCCACAGGAACAACTTGCCGCGGGAGATCGAGGTGTGGGAGAAGTCGAAAATGTGGCCCTTTTCCTGCATTTCCATTGAGAAAGATATTCCATCATTGCCAGGTTTTGTACTCGTTCATACTAAATTGACTTTCTTGTGTTGAATTGTTAGAGAAAGCATTTGACCTTATTATTAGGCTTGAAGAAAAAGAGCCCAATATCTAGTCTATGAAGCTAGCCAATGAATTGATTCTTAGATTTTAACGTTTTATAGCATTAATTTCACTGATACATTCCTTTGAAAAACAAGCTACAGGGACTGTATTTTATGAAGTCGGTAGCCTAGTGGTTAGGCTCTCGGACTCGCAACCGTAAGGTCGTGGGTTCGAATCCCGTCAAGGGCCCGACGTTGTGTCCTTGGGAAAGGCACTTTACACGAATTTTCCTCACTTCACCCAGGTGAGAATGGGTACCCGGCTATAGACAGCGAAAGATCTTGTCAGTTTGTTAGTGTTTGAGCGCTTAATCGGCTGCTCGCACTGTATGCTTCCCGGGAAGCTGAGAATGTTTCGGAGTGTACTATTGTCTGCTGGGGTAATAATATAATGTAAAGCGCATAGAGCCTGCTGTTGAGCAGGGATATGCGCTATACAAATGCTATCTATTATTATTAAGTTAGATTTCACAATTATGACTCAACCTTGGTCAATAGCAATTTAAGAGACTTCCAATAAATAACTATTACAAAGCAACACAGATGTTTTCAGCATTTCTTGCTTCATATTAATAAAATTGTGCAGCAAAATCAAATGAAATCTTTTAAAAATGTTTTTTAAATTCTGGTAAACTGCTTTTCCCAAGGACACTGCATAGGGATCTTCGTATACGAGGTTCGAACCCATGAGTTTCTACTTACAAGCCTGATAGCCTAATCACCAGACCACTGACGTGATACCATTGAAACGTTTTCCCTGCAGTGTCTAAATGTTGTCATGTCAATGTTTGCTCCTCTTTCACCTAGGAGTGGAAGGAGTTGTCGTACTTGAGCTGTTTGTGGCTTTTGGAGAGCTTGTAGGACAGATTTGGCATCTGTGAGAATGACGGTGTTGGCTTTAGATTTTTGGTGATTCAAGAGAATGGTGACTGCTATTTCGAGTGCTGATGTTTCTACTTTGTAATGTAATTGGAAGATAGAGATCCTGTGGGGATGGAATGGCTTTCTGTTGATCCATCTATCCACTCTGTGTAGATACCTCAACACAGTGGGTGGTTGGCGGGTGCTCTGGTGTGGTTTGCTCCTTCTTTCCTATCAAACATCTATCGTCCTTATATCCCCCTTCTTCTTTTTTATGTTTGTTACTCTCTTGTAACGCCTCTAAACTTCTGGTGCTCATATGACCTAATGCAGTTGCGAGCTCTGTAAAGCCTCTACTAAAACTAATACCTCAACCACTGTTTCTATTGACCCATCTATCCACTCTATGTAGACACCTCCACCGCCGTCTGTTGACCCGTCTATCCACTCCATGTAGATACCTCCACCGCCGTTTCTGACTGCATCATCCCCCCAGGGCTGTGCCACTGACTGTAGTGTCTTTAGGCCATTCCCAAAGGGGGGAACATTTCTCGTTCAAGCAAAGTAGAATTGTAAATGGGCTGACTCATGTCAAGGTCATAACTGTGCCTGATCTACAACAGGGAACTGCTGCTTTTTCTTTCCTAATCCTTACTGTTGTCATTTTCATCTACCTCTTTTGTACTTTTGTCACTCTCTTGTGACCCGCTATTTCCGGGGTGCCTTGATAGTCGAAGCAGACCTTGTGCTGTTGAAGCTAGAGAGGTGAGCAGAGTAAGTCTGATTCCCTGTAAAGACTTCTCTGTTGACACCCACCCCTTGCTGCTCATATGACCTTATGCAGTTGCGAGCGCCGTAAAACCCTCTACTATAATTTTAAAAAATAAAATGACTGCATCCGTTGACCCATCTATTCCCTCTATGTCGATACCTCCACCGCCATGTCTGACTACATCCGTTGCTCCTGTTTTTTCCTTCAGGTTTGTACGACATCAGTGTGGAGGAGCTCAGGCTGGAGGCATACCAAGCTCTCAAGTCGGGAAACACTCAACCCTATGTGAGTTTTTCTTCTGTGATAATAATAATAATAATTATGATAATAGATTGTATTATATGGTGCTCTATCCCATACAGTAGGACATGACTACAGCGGGACCTTACCGGAATCCCCCTTTTTTTCTCTATGTAAACTCAATTACCCGTTCTCGGGTTTAGCAGGGCAAGGAAAGATCCGAACTTGGATACAGTTGGAGAGATTGAGCGAGCTCTAGCAGGGGGGAAGGGGGAGGGGGGATTGTAGGCGGGCTCCAAACAGGCAGTCAGCGGTGCGGGGTTGTGAATGGCCAGTCCAGTGATGAGTGAGGTGGGACAGGCGGCAGAAAGAGCTGGTGGGGAGAGACGTGTTACGTGAGCCACTTCAAAAGTGATGTGCCCTAGCTTAGAGGATCAGTATGAGAGAGTATAGTCCATAGCCCTAGGCCTAGGCTAGCCCAAGAAGTAAAAGAAAAGGAGAGGGTGTAGTGTGTGATTTCTGATTAATTGAATTGTGATCGTTGATGCTCATAGGCATACGCACGAATCCACTTCACCAGTTCTACAGTAGGCCTTCCGGTACGACAGACAGCACAAGCAACGAAACCGAGGCAAAGATGACTTCCAACAAGGACAAAAGGAAATGCTTCTCACTCAAATTAAAAGCCGAGATAATCTACAAAGTTGACAAGAAAAGGAAGACTAATCAAAAGCACAAGTTTTATTGATATGGAAGGGAGGTATTAATTCCCGTTTCCTTTCCTACAGCGGGAACTCGCTTACAGCAGGATTTTTCTCCCTGACCATAATGTCCCGCTATTGCCGTGTTCTACTGTACTAGTAAGCTCTGAGCGCTTTACACCAATCACATAATCATTCACACAAGAAAATAATATTTCATAGAAGCAAGAAAAACCAGTTTAACCACATGAAGAAGAACTTTCACAACCATACATTAACTATACACGAAAGGACAGTGAAAAAAATGTCAATATATAGGTACATGTATATTAAAAAATCAGCACTTACTAACACACTATAACTAACAATTGAACAAATGATTCTTGAGCAATCGCTTAAACCTATCAAAATTTGCTGTTTCTCTAAGATCCTGAGGCAAGGTGTTCCAGATTTTTAGGCCAAAAAATGAGGAACTTTTCTCACCAAAAGCTGTAACAGCTAGATATTCAGATACAGCCTAAAGTGAACACGCTTTATTTGAACAATCGGTTAAAATGAACCAGTTTCATGGGGGGATCGGATAAAGTGAACGCCCAAAATGAGTGAAAGCGAAGAACGGACCAACCATGTCACTATCACCATATGTTGTGAAAATAAAATTCTTTGCCTCAGTCATCGTCCGACAATCCCAGCTTGGCGTTGGCGACGGCAATCAGAAAGAAAGAGCTCTTGTTTAAGCTGGCCCGCTGGGTTGTTCCCCCACCCCACCTCCACCCTAGACCCACCACTTCGCGTAGCTGTTGTTTCTAGGCCTCCACCCTACCAATATATTTTTGATGAAGCATATTTTCTGTGTTCTTAGCGTTTTCATCTGTGTAATGTTGGTGAAACTTGACAGAAAGAATGGGAGAGAAAGAGAGATAGAGGGAGTGAAAGGATCACTAGTTGATTATTTTCAGTCAGGTGGGACAAAGGTACCTTTTGACTTGCTCTCCAGACTGCCTCGCATGAACTCTTTCACATTGAGGACTTCCTTCTTCTGACTTGTTTATCAACAGTGCCATGATATCATTGTGTCCCATTATTTATAAATGGAATACACTCTCATATCATATCATTCTGCTCACATACATGACTTACGACTGTGTGTCTGTCCGTTCTGTTTGTCTGTCTCTTAATCCTTCCGTCTATTCTAGTATTTATCCATCCTCTTCTATCTGTCCATTCTTCTAACCCAACTCCCAGTCCAAGCAAAGCAGGTGGTTGGTGGGTGCTCTGGTGTAGTTTGCTCCTTCTTTCCTATCAAACGTCTATCGCCCCGACCTCTTCTCCTTCTTTTTTGTGTGAGTTACTCTCTTGTAGCACCTCTAATATTCATCACTTACATGATCTTATTGTGTCGCAAGTGCTGTAAAACTCCTACTAAAAAATAAAATCCATGCAAAGTTGAAAAGATTTATAGAATCAGAAACAGATGTGCACAGTATTTGTCAAGTATTTTGATTTGTCCTCAGATGGAGAGATTCCAGTCGTTGGTCACCGACTTTGGCAATAAGAAGCAGCAGCTGAAGCACCTGACTCCTGAGACCAAACAAAAACTGGTTCGTAATCGTAAACTAATGAAGTTATTTCCAAATTTAGTGAACTGTAAACCGAAAAAAAAAAAAAAAATATGATAACACTAAAAATTTAAAATATAACTGAAAAATAAGAAAAGTATATTTGCAAATTTTATGATACTAAAAACGTGTCACGGCGCAATGGAATCAGGCGCCCATCAATGTTTAGACATGTGGAGTTATTGGTATCTGCTCAAAGCTTGTCTTGCTATCGGTGAAAAAAATGCCCATCTTTCTTGAATAAAAGTCAAGATATTTGAGATTGAAGAAGGTGGGGTCCCCTGGTCTCAAAGGTAAAATTAGCAAGAAAATGGCCGTCAAAGTTTGTGTTTTTCCATAGCTTGATAGTGCTGGACACCGAAAGCTTACACTTTTTTGTGCCTTTAACTCATTCGCTTCGCCGAGCCGTGGGGGGGCGGCGCGGATAATGTGCCGTCAGTACGCTAAGCCGCCTCGAGGACCGATCTTCAATTTTAGCTTAGATTCTATTCCAATCCGCATATCCATGTTAAAATAAAGGTCATAATATAATGTTGACTTCCGGGTCAAGCATTTCCACTGAAAATCGGAAGTTTTGATTCAGTTTTGATACACGATTTCGTAGTTTATTCGACTTTGTTTTATCGCGATGCCAAAATTATAGCCCGGACACCAGTCTTAGTAATTTTACTCAACAAAATCTATCATAATTTTGCCCACTAAAGAAGTGTAGGACTCTTTTTTATAATATTGATACGACTGGACTCATATTGCCAATGCACTGTTATTTAGAAATCAATATTTTTGAGTGCTAGATCTAGATCTAGATCTACGTCTAGATCTAAATTGTCAAAATATGTTTTTCTCCCCAAAATCAATACTTTTTGATGAAATTACACAAAAAGTGCCACTCCAGACATGTATAGATTTATTCCAAATGCAATTCTGAATAATTCCATATTAGATACGAGTGGGTTTTTATCTGTTTGTGATCGTTTTTCGAGATTAAAATTTTTTATATTTTTTTTCAATATCGGAGGTTATGATCAAAATGTACAAATATTATGGAATGTATGTAAATAACTGCAAACTTTTCAATATTTTCCAGTTCTATATTCATTTATGGTTATTTTGATATATCATTTGACGAGGTGCAAGCATATTTTTTTAGTTTCACCAAAGATTATAAAGTTTTTATTTTCAAATTTTATCCGCATCCAATCAAAATTGTGTTGCATAGTCGCCTCTTACAGGAACCAAAATTGAAAAATACATAAATGAACATTACAGATGTATTATACAATCCATACTGAAAATATTGGTATATCATACTCATACGTTGATATTTATTGAATTTGTCGCCCCAAAGACCTTTTAACTGCCCACTAGTCATCATCTCATTCGCCCTCCCGAAAAAAATTCGTCCACAAGCCTAAAATAATACGTAGCGAATGAGTTAATCAACGTTTTTCAGTAAAATCCACCCAGAAATTAGTTCTTAATTAGACAACAATGGTGTTCAGCCAAAAAACAAAAATTCGATGAAAATTGCCAAACTGGCAGAAAAATGCTAGTTTCTTCAATTTCATAATTTTGACGACCGCCTGATTACACCACGCGGAATGACAAATGAGGTGCAATCTAGTGTTTGGCTGGATGTGGTTAAAAAGATCCTCTCCTCAAACATCATGCTATATATCTATCACGGACGACACACACAGCACAGGAATGAAACCTGCACCTCCGCTCCACATCCTAAGGACACCACAGGAAGGAAAAAATCAAATGTAAAGTATCTGGATAAACTATCTGTAGGTGTGTATCTTACAGTAACAACAGGAGGCATATTACAATTGTATTGTTATTTTATCCCTTTTCTAATCAGTTTGTATAATGCAATGCAAAACTCAAGTCCGTAAGTTTTTTTCCTGGAATGAAATGCTGAAAATTCATGACAAGGCAAGTCTTAGAGAGTAGCAGGGTGAAGGAGTGCGACGCAGTGTGCATCGTAATTTCTTGTAATGATAAATATAGAGTCCCATGGGATTGGTGATGTGGCTGTGCAAACAGGCCAAATCTCAGGGGTCAGAAAGATAAGATAAGATACATCTTTATTGTCCAGATCCTGGCACATTGGTTTGGTGTTTCACAACGTGTACACACACACACGCACACACACACACACACACACACACACACACACACACACACACACACACACATTCTCGTCTCATCCTTATAATTCAACTTCGAACCATCTGTAATAGGAAACATGTCAGTAACTTTTCTACTCGTCTTTTTTTCAGGTTGCCTTTTTGGAAGAGATGAGAAAGAAAAAATCTGGGTATGTTGCACAAGACCTCTGATAATGGAGAAATCTCCAGTTTCTGCGTTGAGTCGCTTGTCCATTGTAAGGCAGAAGGGATAGAATCATAGAGGTCGACCTAGAATTACGTACTGAGATAATTTGAATATATTGGTAATGGAAAAATATCAGGGTTTTAGTTTTAGTTTAGTACAGGTTTTACAACGCTCACAACTGCATAAGGTCTTATGAGCGCCAGAAGATTTGAGGTGTTACAAGAGAGTAACAAACATAAAAAAGAAGAGGGGGGGGGGGGGATAAGGACGATAGATGTCTGATAGGAAAGAAGAAGCAAACCACACCAGAGTACCCGCCAACCACCCACTAATAAAATACTAGGGTGATGTAATAATAGTTATAATAATGATAACAAATAGAATTTGTATTGCAAAAACACCAGCTCAAAAGCAAGCTCTACTGTTCGCTTCACAATCTACATTATTACCCCAGCAGACCAGATAGCATTCTGAAACAATCTCAACTTTCTTGGAAGCAATAAACAGTGTAAGCTGCCATTTTACAGGAGCTAAAACACGAACAATCTGACAAGATCTTTCGCTGTTTGGCCCGGCACCCTTTCATACCTGAGTGAAGTGAGGAAAATTCCGTGAAAAGACCTTTCCCAAAGACACAAGGTCAGGCTCAGGCCTTGAACCCCCAAACGCTCAACCTCACGATTACAAGTCCGGTAATCTATGTAGGTTATTTTGAGAGCATCTGAGCAGAGAAATGAATGGCAAACAATGATTGCCTGTGTCTGTTTCAGAGGTGGCGCATGAAGAAGGAGGAGGAGGAGGTAGATAATTGATAGGTGCTCTGGTGTGGTGTGCTCCTTCGTTCCTGGCGTCGGAGGCCTAGTGGTTAGGCTCTCAGACTTGCAACCGTAAGGTCGTGGGTTGGAATCCCGTCAAGGGCCTGACATTGTGTCCTTGGGAAATGCACTTTACACGAAAGATCTTGTCAGTTTGTTAGTGTATCAGCGCTTAATCAGCTGCTTGCACTGTATGCTTCCCAGGAAGCTGAGAATGTTTCTGAGTGTTCTCAGAGGGTCTGCTGGGGTAATAATAGTGTAAAGCGCATAGAGTCTGCTGTTGAGCGGGGATATGTGCTATACAAATGCTATCTATTATTATTATTATGAAAGACCTATCGTCCTCATCTCTCCCCTTTCTTTTGTTTTTACAGTCAGGCACAGATAACACAAACACGGAAATCTCACAATTAAGGATTAGCTCATACAATTAACCATTCTCCAATTGATCTCTCTTTGATTTTTCGTAATTGGTTTACCCAAATTATTGATGCGTGGAACACTTTTTTCAATCCCCAACGTGTTTGAGTTATCTGTGCTTCACTTCAGTGACACATCTAAAATCTTCGGCACTTCATGAAACTAACCCCCCGGGGGCGGTACTACAGACTGAAGTGTCTTTAGGCCATTCCCAAAAGGGGGACATTTCTCGTTTTAATGCACAGTAGAATTGTAGATGGGCTGCACAACAATGTTATGCTCACAATAAGTCATCTGGCAGTCTGTGGGTACCATGCCTCGTCTGTAGAGATCCCACGAGTGGGAGGGAAGAAGATGTCAACCGTGAGTTCCTGAATGTGCCTGAACTGCAACAGGGAACTGCTTTTTTTTCCCTTATCCTTACTATTGTCATTTTCCTCTACTTCTTTTGTATGTTTGTCACACTCTTGTGACCCGCTATTTCCGGGGTGCCTTGA